AGCGAATTAATACAACGCGAAACGCTAACAACCAAGCCTTGATTGATGTCAGTGCACATTTGACAGAACGAAAGGATGGCTCAATCTCCAACATGGTACCGTAAAACCGGTGTCCAGTCTTTTCGTCCAAGAATTTTTTCGTCCGAAAGTCTTTTCGTCCAAGTATTTTCATCTTAAGTCTGTTCGTCTAATTCTTAAATCTTTCCGCGAAGCAAATAAATAATTATTATATTATATTATAGATAAGGCTATATAAAGAACTTATCAGTGCGAGCCGTTGCCCTTTTGGTTCACCAATCTTCGTTTACGAATTCAACGTCATGAATTTAATACACAGAGAATGATTGAAGTTGTAACGCAATATATTTTATTAAATAGTGGCAAAAATAAAGACTTACTTACCGTTTAATTATTTCACGCGAAAGAAATGGGAATATTAGGCTCGTAAAAGGCAACGAAGTGCAACATCACTACGTGTCCGACATACCGAAATGGCGGCGGCTCGCAACAAGTTCTTTATATAGCCTTATCTAGCCTTCTAAAAGTTATTTATTTGCTTCGAGAAAGGACTTAACAAGTAAACGAACAGACTTAGGTGAAAATACGTTTGGACGAAAAGACTTGGACAAAAAGACGTTTGGACGAAAAGACCGTAATCCGTAAAACCCGTGCGCCTCGACTTACTTGCAACTTTCAACTAACATAAATGTCCCGAAATATAAGCACTTTCACGCTCGCGAGTCTTATTTGGACAAGGAAACGTGTTGTTTATGTAAGAAAGTGCTTTTATCTGTGCGGTGCAAGTAAAACAAAGTTACAAAGTAGTCTTTTAAAAAACGTTTCATTATGTTGTCGAATGGACACCTGCAAAAATAAAATGCGCCTCACTTTTGACAAGAATATTTTTTTATGTAGAGTTAGGATGCTGTAATCCACATTGTATGTATCGATTTTCTTACCGTCCTATAAGCTTTAATTAAAATGTTCACTCGAGACAGAACAAAAGCCGCATTGCCAAAAGTTAATTTTGCAGGACGTTTGCCGCATCGGTTTCGAGGAAATTTTTCATCGGTTAGATGAGTAAAAAAAAGGAAGCATTGAACTCGTTTACTCTTAAGGAGCAGTTACTTATGAAATGCTTCGGACGAGCAAAGTGTTCAAACCGATCCCAAATAAGCCTGAATGGATACAAAAGAATCAACATAACTATTAAAACTCTTACCTTTAAGTATAATATTGATTTAAGCAAAAGGGAAGCTTTTCCTTCCACAATAAGGTAGTTACTAACTGCAGCCCTTCTAATTATCTGACAACCGGATATTTTCGAGAGAAAAGTAGACCCTAGGGGTCTTACGGCATTAACTGCATATAATACATCTTCCTGACTTTCTGTCAAATTGTCTGCAGTAAGAGTTCGTCATTCGTTTGAAACTGACAACAGCGCAAAACTCATTACAGAGGCGTCTGGCTGATTGATTCGTTAATAGCTATCCACAAAATGGATTTTTTGATTTTGTCATTAAACTGAAAGCAAACTGATATGCGTTAACTAAAAGTTGACTTCATTCTAAAAAAGAAATACAGAGGGTCTTTTAAAACTGTTTCTCAATTAAGCACGACACAAACGTTCAATCAATCGACAAACTGTTTTCCCGGCGGCTCCCTTTCTCGTAGTCTCAGAAAAATTCATTTTATTTCATCCATCACATAGTTATGCAGGTGAAAAGACATAAAAAATACTGCAACAATTTGCAAGTGAAAATGACATGTTTTAATTAATTAAGCAATAGACCGCACTCTCTATCGGTTTACGGGTGAAGTACACATCCCTCGCTTCCAGCGCGGCGAGTGATTTACAAACTTTTTGAGTGTTCTCTCAGCATCCTATGTCTGTTATAACGTCCGTAAACGCATAGTGGCGGTCTATTGCTTTCATAAAATAGATTTACAACAATAAAAGCTTTCTATGGATTTAACAGTGCAATAAACGAGAAGTTTTTGACCAATCCCGATGCGCTTAGTATCTCAAATAAAAAATTGCTACATTGCACTGTTACGTAACTATGCGCTTCTCTTCAAGAGCCAGAAAAAAATAAATTTCATTCCTATAAGTGGAAATTGTTCCAAAGTGTATTACATTTAAAAAGGTTTCGGTTTAGAAATGAACCAATGCAGTGCATGCAGTCTATAGATCTAGCATATCAGAATGTAGAGTAAAAGGAAAATTGAGCTTTTACTACATTCAGTCTGTAAATAAGAAAAAATAAACTTTAGTGCTCACTTAGACACCTATTCCTAAACATCATAATTAACAACTAGCTAGCTTTCCTGTCCGCTAATTTTGCTAATTCACCATACAATCCGTTTGCATCGTAAATGATTTGTTTCGCCCCTGGTTTGATCTTGAACGGTTCAAGACTGTCATTGAACTGAGAGACAACCCTTCTTTCAACTTTGACCTCACGTCCCCGATAGCTCCTCAGAGCTGCTATGTCTATTTGTGGCTGTCTGCTGGGTGGACTCACAAGGTTCTTCTTCATGCCTATATAGTCAAGCGCGCGATAGTGTGCTTGTTCGATCTGTCTGGGCGCCTTGTAGTTCTCAGCCCACGGAGGCGCACTTTTTACTCTGTCCTTTTTATCCGCGCAGTACGAAATTCTTTGCCACATCTTACAACGCATGTCAAGAACAGTGGCTGGCCTTCCGAATTCGCTCGTCTTGAAGGAGTACAGCTTTTTATAAGGCACTTCGAACTGCTGACTTATGCGTTTTAGTACGCGGGAGGGTTTTTTCTCCGCGCGTTCTTCAGGGACGCTGCCGCTCAACATTTCCAATGAGGTGCTTTCTTTCGAATTTAATCTTTTGGACCTTATTGTCTGGTCAGATCGTTGATTTTCAAAAGCAAAATTCCAGCGCGTTGACTTGAAGGTATTCACAACAGATTCCTGTGCTTCAGCAATCCTTCTACTCCTGTTTAAGTGGCTTAAGAACTTCTTGGCAAATACCACTTGCTCTGCTTCTATCTCGGAAACAAAGTAGTCCGTTTGTCTTTTCAAACGATTCAGTCGCTTGGAGAGTTCCTTTTCTTCCATAACATTTGCTCTAAGGTTCCCTGTTTTTATCTTACTTCTATCGCCCATTTTTGTTTTCAGTTTTTTTTTTCTTCGCGACTGCAAATGCGAACTCGTAGTTTACGATAAAACTGGCTGTACCAGCGTCTAAACGTCGAGACGTTATCAAAACATCAAGTTAAAACATAATGATTTACCATCCAAACATAGCGAGCTTTAGTTCATTTGACTAATCCACGGTTTGTCCGACCAAAATTGCATGGTTAGAATGACACTACGTAGACTGCAACATCCACAGAATAATTTCCTGTGAACTGCGATATAAAATGGATCATTCTCGAAATGTCTTCATATAAATATCAAATAATCTGACTCTAAGCATGGTTGCTAAGTGAAATATATTATACACGTTAGCGCTTAATTGCGAAGTCACAGTGTCTATCTCCTGGTATGGAAACAACAATCTCCCTCGACCAATCAAATGGCTCGAAACAACCGTTTTAATGAGATAACACCAGCTCTGCCGGCCCAGACTAACGTCATAACAGGAACAGGTGCATTTGTCAGGTTTATCGGAGAAAAGAGGATATTACATACTTCCCAGCAGGTGTCCATCTGTTTGAGTAAGCAATAACCGTAAACATGACATACAGATTAAGTGCTGTGGATCGACGATGCTACGACATTCCGAGAAAGACGTTGCGAGAAGGATAATTCGTAAATGCAAATCGCGTGTTGTTTCAACGGATCAAACCGGATTATGTTAACACCTTTCTGGAAGATGGAGTTCATCACAAAGTAAACGAATGTTCCAATTTTTCAATTTTAAATTTTTCAAGAAGTAAAGAAATCAGTAGAAATAATACAATACATTCTTTTTCTTTCTCCCCAAAATACGCTGTGGAACTATGGTGGTGCTGCCTTAAAAACCTAAATAAACAAATATAATTCAATGCTGGAAGGCTCCAGAGGAGTTGTTTGAATTATGCAAATGAATAAGTATGATGCACGATCCTCGCAGTAGAGAGCGCTATTTATGCAATAGCGAAAATCAGACCTGAAAAAAATCAGACCTGTACGGGATTCGAACCACTGACCTCTGTAGTGTCATTGCATCTGATTTATCATCACGGGTTTATTACAAATCAACTTGACGGCCTGCTCCCAGTTGGCTTGTTAGCTCAATTGGTAGAGCGCTGCACTAGTATCGCAGAAGTCAGTGGTTCGAATCCTGTACAGGCCTGATTTTTTTTCAGGTCTGATTTTCGCTATTGCATAAATAGCGCTCTCTACTGCGAGGATCGTGCATCACACGTATCTACAACTGCAGTTCAAAATATATGAACTTCATATATTCATTGTATCTGAGCAAATGAATAAGTTTATTCTTTTCATTTATATTGTTTGAATAAATCGACGGAGTAAGTTCACAGTTAATCAATTTCGTGCCTCTCAGAACCATATGTTTAATTCTAGCTTCTCAGCGAGAGTCGTATTTTCTATTTACATTTTTATTTTTATCAAACAATCTCACGCATTAATCAGTCAATACAAGTGCAAAGTCAAGTTCAATCCGTAGATGAAACCCAATTGTGCGACAAATAAAATAGAAATTTTCGTAAGAAAACACATTACAATTTTACGTTGTTAAAGAATTGGCAAAAATTTCGCAAAATTCGCTTTGCGACAAGTTTTAACGTGTTGTTTTGTTATGTGATTAACAAAGATTCTCATATACAAATGTAAAGGTACTGAAATCAATATTTTCCCCCTTTTTCCTACTTTTCGTTCACCTCACCCCCAGAGTTCCGCGCGGTCGGTTGATATCAGATGCTTTTTTTCGCCTTTTCAAATTGCGATTCGGACTTCGCCGAAAAAATAAAAGGGCACTGTCAGTCGTCTTAATTTGTTATTTAAATTTTTCAAGAC